AGGTGTTAATCCTGGGCGAGATGATGGGGACCTGTGCTGGGACAGGGCCAAGGAGGGGAGCGAAGAGGAGGAGAGATCTGGGAACTCATCGGGCAGCATCTGGAGTGAGAGATGCTGGAAGCTGGTGGCAATGCCAGCACCTACGTTCCCAGGGCTCCCGGTGCGCCTGGAGCTGTCTGTGATGTATCTTCTTACTGTATCCTCCCAGCTTCCCCCGTGGAGAGGCGGGAGGTGGTTCACTGAGGTCTGTGTTACATACACTAGTACCTTCAGCCAACCAGAACCCCACGTGCCCTGTAACTACAAAACAATGCCAGAAAAACACAAAAAAACCCACGTGAGCTACATTCAGTTTTGTAGACAAGTTAGAAAATATAGAGAAACAAAAGGAAGAAAGTAGAGCTCCCAACCCCGTTGTCCAGAAGGCGGTAACACTTTGGTGTAAATGTTTTCACACCTTTACCCCTAACTGTGTGCGGCTCCCGTCCATCTGAACGTGTCTGTCTACACCTGCAGCGCAACGCACAGCAGGCCAGCCTGTCTCTAGATGGAGGATGGGCGGATGTTTGGGGTGCATCTGAGCACGTGCATACATGAGCATTGGGGTTTACACCCCAATCAGCAAACTTCCAGGTTCTTACTGTTTCGCACTCGATCTGTCAGGACTGAGAGAAGCAGGTTGAAGTTTCCAATGTGCTCATTTCTCCCTGAATCTCCTGTAGTGTCTGCTTTATGGTTGTTGATGCTCTGTTATTTGGTGTATGAAGTTATATTTTTATACTTTCGTTATGTTTAGCTTTACAGTCCCACTTCTTCACCACCTTTATTGCTTTCGTTAGAGATTTAACCTTGTCAGGTCATGATCGCCTGCTTGGTAGGCCGTCGCCATCCGCAAGCAAATACTAGTAATCAGAGCCCCAGCGGCTGGCAGAACTGGCTGGAACCCTGATCCTGACGCTCGCTGGCTGCGTGACCTTGGGCGAGTCCCCTCGTGTTTTAAATCTCCATTTTTGACAAATGAGGCTGACAGCAGCTTCATAGGTGGCTGTGGTGAAGGGAGAAAAGTCTTGCATTAAAAATAAAAGGTCTCTAGGGGCGAGAACCACTGTCCGCAGGGCAGATGGAAGGATTTCTGAGCCGCTTGCTGTGGGAGTCCGTCCATTCGTATGCGGAGCTGATGACAGGGCCCGGCCGGACACCTGCTTCCACTCGTGGTTGACAGAGGGGAGCCCAGAGGAGGGGTCCCATCCAGGAGACACTAGGATGGAATGGGTGACCGCTTGGTCTGTGCAGGTGGCAGGTGAGGGTTGTCAGGCAGAGGGGATGGGAGGCGTCTGCAGACCGGTACCTTCCCTGGAGGAATACGTACAGGCTATAGTCAAGTGCAGACCTGAGAAACTGTGTAACAGTTCGACATCGCTGCAATTTCCCTGAGCATGGTCAGTTTTTAGGAATTAATGTTTATTGTGTTGTACAAAAGTATTAGTCCCCAAAGGGTTGGTTTTCAGAAAAGTTCCTCCTCCACCAGCGGGCTGAGAGGTGCTGGTCTAGACAGACAGCTGCTGGGAGAGAAGGCAGGGGCTGGGCGCCGTGCACCCATCCAGGGGACCTGGGGGTCACAGGGTCAGAGTGACCCTCCCCGCGCTGTCCTCTCAGCACCGAGTAGGCAGCACAGGGTCAGGACGGGCACCCTGGCCCAGGCGAGACTACAGACGACAGCGAAGCCGGCCTGGCCTTGTCCACCCAGAGCAGACACCCTCTCACTCCAGTCCAAATGTGGGGGCTCAACTAGGCTCTGGGGAGGGCGGGGAGGGGAGCGAGGAGCAGCTTCTCCATCCTGCCGGGCCCCTTGCCCGCCCCACACAGAGCCCCAGAAAGGGCCTGGCTCCGGCAGGGCTGGAGGAAGGCAGGGGACAGAGCCCAGGCGAGTGTAGCTGTGGTCCCAGTGCTGTCACTTCTCTTCATGCTGTGGTCCCGGGGAGGTCCTGACCTCCAGCTTCCTCTTCTGCACGAGGGGGCCCCTGGGGGCCTCTGTCCTCCCTGGCAGAGCCCAGGTGGAAAGAGACACCTGATGATAAAGCGCTCTGGAGGGGGCAGCGGGCCAACTCGGGGTCCCTGTCCCAGTTCCCGGGGCGCGCCCTGCTCCTTCCCCAGTTGTTCTGGGAAACCACAGCCTGGTGACATTCAGAAGGAATTGGGTTTTACTAGTTACAAGAGCTCCATTTCCTCAGTGAATAGAGCCAAGAGGCCCAAAGAAGGCCAGGGAGGTACCCAAGGTCACCGGGGGTGAGCCACAGAGAGAGCGTGAGCCTGACTCCAGACTTGAGGTCTAACGCACAGACACAGCACTGGGCACTGGCCCCGGCACCTGCAGGGAGCATGCGGGCACCTGGGCGGCAGGGACGTCTCTCTGCACCCCGCCCCTTCCTCACTGCGCCTCCGGACAGCACCCGCCCAGAATGCACCTGGAGGGCACCTGCTGGAGGGCAGCAGGCAGAGGGCGAGCAGGCTGGTGACAGTGCCGACCCCAGGGGCTGGAAGGGCGGCAGCAGTGGGGTGGCTGGTGGCCAGGACAGGGCATCCAGCTGCAGGGACGAGAGTCCTGACTTGTGAGGATGAGCAGGGAGAGGAAGGCCCTGCTCATTGGAGATGGGGGCCGTGGGGGCCCCGGCAGCCGGCAGCTCCGGAGCACAGAAGGGAGGGGGTCCAAGGGGAGCAGCCCCCATGCCACCCAGACCCCTGCCCCTTCCAGGTCTGCAAGACAGGGCGGGGGGGGGGGCAGGAAATCCCTCCCAGTGGTCCTAATGGAGGGCAAATGGCAGAGCCAGCGCCAGGGGCATCTGGTCTCAAGAAGGTGTCCAAGGCGCCCGTTCCCTACCAGCCTGGCATGGGGGCGCATGCAGCAGGCGCCCCGTAAGTGCTCGCTGAATAATGGACGGTGAATGAATGAATGCCTGAGTGACAGAGAGCGGGGATTCCTGTCCCGAGGACATTGTGGGTTACAGGCGCTCTCGGGCTGCCGGGGCCTGTCAGCGGGATGTGGGGTCCTCCGGTCCCCTTAGAGTCCTGTGCACAGCTCCCCCCGGACTCCCCACCCCCTTTGTTATGAAGCCATTTGCATTTGATGAGCTCTTCTACTTCCCCCACATCCCTTTTAGACCAAGGCAGAGGGAGCACCGGGGGAAACCCGGAAGGGCCATCATTCCCGTTGTTAGAAGATGTGGTTCAGTAGGCAAGTACCTAGAAGAGGGATAGCTGGATTGTACGGTAGGTGGACATGTATTTAACTTCCAAAAAAACTCTCAAACTGATTTCCGAAGTGGTGCACCACGTGCGTCCCCACCAGCCGTGTCTGAGAGTTCCACCTCCCCCACTGGACAGTCTTTTTTTTTTTTTAAATATATTTTATTGATTTTTTACAGAGAGGAAGGGAGAGGGATAGAGAGTTAGAAACATCGATGAGAGAGAAACATCGATCAGCTGCCTCCTGCACACCTCCCACTGGGGATGTGCCCGCAACCAAGGTACATGCCCTTGACCGGAATCGAACCTGGGACCCTTCAGTCCGCAGGCTGACGCTCCATCCACTGAGCCAAACCGATTAGGTCCCCACTGGACAGTCTTGAACTTTATCGTTTAGGAGGTGCAGCGTCTCAGGTGAAGTGGTTTTAGTCTCATCTCCCTGATGACAGTCACCCTGAGCATCTCTGCGTGTGCTTATTTGCCGTCTGTGTACCTTCTTTGGTGAGGGGTCTCTTCCAATCTGATGCCCATTTAGAAAGCTGGGTTGTTTGTTTTCTTATTATTGAGTTTTGAGAACTCTTCATATGTTCTGATTACAGCCCTTTACTTATATACGCAATTTTAAAATATTTTTCCCTCAGTCTTTGGCTTTTTTTTTTTTCCATTCTCTTTAATGATGTTTTTCGAAGAGCAAAATTGGAAAATTTTGATGAGGTCCAATTTATCAATTTTTTATTTTATAGGTTGTGCATTTAGTGTTATAGCTAGGAAATCTCTGCCCCAAGGTCCCAAAGATTTTATCCTATGTTTTCTTCTAAAAGTTTTATATTTTACATTCAGGTCTTTGATCTGCTTTGGAGCCTTTTTTTTTTTTTTTTTTTTTGGTATATTGTGTGAGATAAGAGTCAAAGTCTTTTTGTTTGTTTATTTTTTGCATGTGATTATTCAATTGTTTGAGAACCATTTGTTGAAAAGATTTCTTTCCCTGTTGACATGTCTTTTGCACCTTCGTTGAAAATCAGTTGACATATGTGTGGGTCTATCCTTAGCCTCTCTTTTTCCCATTGATCAATATGTCTTTCTTTATGCTAATACCATACTGTCCTTTTTTTTTTTGGCTAATCCTCACCTGAGGATAATTTTACATTGATTTTTACAGAGAGTGGAAAGGATACTGGAGGGAGAGAGAGAGAGAGAGAGAGAGAGAGAGAGAGAGAGAAACATTGATGTGAGTTAACGCATCGATTGGTTGCCATCAAACACACCTCCACCAGGGCTTGGAATCGAGCCTACAACCGAGGTACATGCCTTTACTGGAATTGAACCTGGGACCCTTCAGTCTGCAGACCAACACTCTATCCACTGAGCCAAACCGGCTAGGGCTACACCATGCTGTCTTGGTTATTGTATCCTGATAGTAAGTCTTGAGATCAGGCAATATCATCCCTCCAGCTTTGTTCCTTTTCAAAATTATTTTGACTATTTGAGATCCTTTGCATTTCCACATACATTTTAGAGTCAGCTTGTCAGTTTCTCCAAAAGAGCTTTCCAGGATTCTTATTGGGGTTGGATTAAATCCATAGAACAATTTGGGGAGAATTGATATCTTAACAATATTGAGTTTTCAATCCATGAACGTGGTATATCTCTCCATCTATCTATATTGTTACTTTCTCTCAGTAATGTTTTATCTTTTGTCCAATTTATTCCAAAGTATTTGCTATATTAATTGATAGGCTTTCTTTTTTACTTTTTAGTTTGAAATAACTTTGGACCTACAGAAGAGTTGTAAAGACAGCACAAAGAGTCCCTGTATATCCTTCACCCGGCTTCCTCTAATGTCCTTTGCTTTTTCCAGGATCCAAGCCAGATACCACATTGCTTTTAGTTGTCCTGTCTCCGTCTCCTCCCCCTGTGACAGTTCCTCAGGTAATCTTTCCTTGTGTTTCATGACCTTGACATTTTTGAAGAGTACTTGTCAGGCATTTTGTAGAATATCCCTCAATGTGCGTTTTTCTCATATTTTCTCAGTATTAGACTGAAGGTATGGGTTTTGGGGGGTTGTCCTACTCTTTGCATCATGTTAGGGGATACATAATAGTGATATTGATGATGTCAATGTGATATTGGTGATGTCAAGAGTGATCAGTGGTGATGTCAACCTTGATCACTGGGTTAAGTTGGTGTTGGCCACATCCTCCATTGTCAAGATTCCATTTTCCTTTTTCCTTCTCTGTCAGAAGTGAATCACTGAGTCTAGCTCGCGATGCGGAGAGGGAAATTAAGCTCCACCTCCAGCACCACAGGGTTTATACTAGACGTTCCCCATTGCATATTGGTCATTTCTTTCTCTGACAGTGAGAAGCCTGGCTCTTGTTATCAATAGTATATTTACCTATTTGTCCAAACTGAGTGTACATGTAAAGCAGTCTCGAAATTGCAAAGCCATGCCTTATGAGAAACCAGTTTACCACCCAGCGTACAGTATTTGTGCGGTTATTTTTGTCTTTAGCATTATAGTAACAGGTAAAAACACCATGTGCGAAGTTATTTGGGTCAGGTCATTTCTTCTCCACCCATTTTAGTGCCTTTGTTATTATTATTATTTTTTTAAACCCTTGTGTCGAGGGCTGACTTTCAATAGATCGCAGCGAGGGAGCTGCTCTGCTACGTACGAAACCCCGACCCAGAAGCAGGTCATCTACGAATGGTTTAGTGCCAGGTTCCCCACGAACGTGTGTTGCGTGAAGGGCGTGGGGGCGGCCCCCTTTCCGGCCGCACCCCATTTTAGTGCCTTTAAAACCTTTTTTTTTAAAATTGATTTTAGGGAGAAAAAGGGAGAGAGAGAAAAAAAAATCCATTGGCTGCCTCCTGCATGCACTCTGACTAGGGATCAAATCTAAAACCTGGGTATGCGCCCTTCTGGGAATCGAACCCACTACCTTTTGGTGTACGGGCCAATGCTCCAACCAACTGAGCCACACTGGGCAGGGATTTAGTGTCTTTATGTCATACATTTGTTATTTACATTTACCCTAACTATTTTATATTTTATGGTTTTATTTTAAATGATATATAAAATTTAAAAAATTTTCTGATTGTTTTTGCTAGTATATAGAAATATACTTACAACCTTGCTAAGCTCACTTATTTTTTTAGTAGATTTTTTTGTAGATTATTTAGGATTTTCTATATAGATGATTACGTTGCCTGTGAATAAAGATAGTGTTTTTTTCTTCCTTTCCAATTTGTATACCTTTTATCTTATTTTCTTGCCTTATTACAATGTTAAATAGAAGTGAGATTGCACATTCTGGATGTCTTTGGAAGATAAAGCTAATAGGATTTCCTAAAGGATGGGAGTTTAGCAGTTATTATTATTTCTCTCTGTTGGAGAAAGAGTTGGTGCCCACAGAAGGGACCTCACCCCAGTGGGGTTGGTGGGATGGTTTATGGGAATCAGGAATGGTCAGGGTGTTGTCCAGAGGTCCCTGCTCAGCAGAGGTGAGAGCTAGGTGAACTGGAGACTTTCCTATGCATTTTTCTTCTGCTAGTTTGGGCTTAACCGTGAAAGGACTAAAGACGGGAGATTTATTGATTGATTGATTTTTGGATTAGGTCATTTAGCACTCCTCTGACCCTCAACCCCAGATTGCTTATTTTGGGTGTCCATCCCAAAGCAATGGCGGAGGCAGGAAATATTCCTGGATTTGGGGTATGGAGCTGGGGTGGGCATCCCGGCTGTGTGACCCGGGGGGAGACCCAGCCCAGCCGCCGTCTGTGGAGGCTGTGGTCACCTCCCAGGGTGTTTGTGAGCATCACAACAACAATAGTAATGGGCACACCTGTGAACCTCGCCATGCGCCGGGCTCTGCACTGAGTACCTATTTGTATCATTTAATCTTCCCAAGTTCCCTGTGAGACAGGAACTTACTTATTTTATTACTATTAATTTTTTAAAATATTTTTATTGATTTCAGAGAGGAAGGGAGAGGGAGAGAGAGATAGAAACATCAATAGATGAGAGAGAATCATTGATCGGCTGCCTCCTGCCCGCCCTCTATTGGGGATCGAGCCCAGCACCTGGGCATGTGCCTGAGCGAGTCGAACCTGGGACCCTTCAGTCCGCAGGCCGACGCTCTATCCACTGAGCCGAACCGGGAGGGCGAGACAGGGACTGTTATTACCTCATTTTACTGAAGGAGAAGCTGCAGGAAAGGGGGGCATCTGCCCTCTGACCTCTGCTGGGAACTGTCCTGCTTCTTCAGCGCAAGTATCACCTCCTCCCAGAACCCTCCCTGGGCAGCTCCCTGTACCTGCCCAGACCAGCAGTGTCAGGCCCACTTCCCGGGGCTCCCACACACCCGTTGCCTGTGCTCCCCCGAATTCAGGACCGTGTCTGGCTCCTCCTCACACCCCAGCACCCACAAGGGACTCAGCACCCCCCAGGGCACCAGCGAATGTCTTTGGCCAGAACGCACACCTTGGGCAGCAGCCTGCGTCGACCCACCGTGGGCTCCGGCCACACCCGCGGGCGTCTTTAGGGAGGTGCCACCTGCACGGAGGCCCTCGATCCAGAGGCAGCCCCGGGCCCGAGGCATCAGGGAGCCCACTCCTCCCTCGGCGCCCCCATCAGCGACCCCAGGATGCTCCAGGAAGTGCTGCGCTCACACCCGCCCCCACTCGCCAGAGAAGGCACCATTGTGTCCGAAGGGTTAAGGAGGGATGCAAGGAAGGGGCCCTTTAGCCATGATGCCCTCTGACCTTCCATAAATCAGAGGGGCTGGGGGCGAGGGGCTGCTTGGCAGGGCTTGGGGGGGTGGGGGCTCAGAAGCAGCTGCGCGCGACGTTGACATTGTTCCCACCATTCTAAGTGCAACAAATCCCTCTATTGTGTTCCTGGTTTATCTGGTTCCTCTTGTTTATTAGCACGGCTCCTTTGGCAGCGGTTCCAGCCCTGGGCGGGTGGAAAGAGTGCTGGCACGCACCGCGGGGGGAGGGGGCCGGGAGGGGGCTGCCATCAATGCCCGCATTGTCCCCGCGCTTTTTGTTTCTACTGTAATGACATGTTGGAAGAGAGAGAGGAGAAGAAGGAAAAAAAAGGGCTCGAGTTGGGGAGGGAAGAGGAGGGCAGCAAAGAAAGAGGGAGCCAGGGCCCTGGTGTGGATTGATGTCTGGGCCTGGGCGGATGTGCCGGCAGCTGGGCAGCCGGGTGGATGGAGCCAGGCTGGGGAGCCTGGGGGGGCGGTGGTGCAAGGGGCCCTCCAGTCTCCCACCCCAGCCTCTGCCGCCTGGCACCAGGTCCCCCCGCCACCCTCCAGCCCTCCTGGGGCAGATGTGGGGCTGTGCCAGAGCGGGGCAGGTGCCGGGTCTGGGGTCTGCATCCTGATGGGCCCCAGCCTGGCTGTGCCACCCAAGGAGGCCTCTTAGCCTCTCTGGGTCTTGGTGTCCCAGGTCTGAAAAAGGGGGCGCTGGGGGGGGAAGGCATTTGGGCAATGGTGGCAAGTCCTCCCCAGGCCTGGTCTGTACTTCCGAGCCCGGGGCAGAGTGAGGGCTCACCCTGGGACAGCGAGCCCAGCACCGCCCCAGAGAGACGGCCGAATGCCAGCTTGGCAAGGTGGCTTCCTCTCCCATCTAGGCCTGGTCCCCACAATGCGGAGGGGGGAGAGGAGCCCGAGCAGGTGGGCGGAGCTCTGGCCCCACCTGGCTGGGCTGGGCCTCTCCTGCTTCAGGGCCCTTGCAGGTCTGGCTTCTGGGCTGGGCGAAGAGCTCAGGGCACCCGAATGAGGCACGAAGGCCCTGGCCATCTTGGGGCCAGCGGGCCCACTGAGGCCAGGGCCCTCCCGCCACTTCCTGAGGCCTCTCTGCAGCTCCGGGCCAGTCACCCGCCTCCGCTGGCTCACCTCCAACCACGCGGAGCTCCTACTCTGCGCCAGGCCTCTTCTGTCCTCGCCCTGCCGACTTTGGGGAGATTTTCCCTGAAAACTGTCTCCCTATGGCTTCTGCTTCTTTGGTTCAGTTCTATTTATTGCAACCACGGGGAACGCGTTAAGCCTCCCTGAGAATCGGTTTCCTCACCTGTGAGATGGCACGCTGGTCCCTGCTCTTCTGCCGCGTGGCAGAGGCTGTCCTGTGGACCCAGCCCTTCCTAGGCGCCAGCGAGGGCCTGTCCGTGGGTGAGGATCAGTCCTCGTGAATAAAGGCACTGTTTTCTGAGAGGGTTGGCTTCGGGTCAGGGCCGTGGCTGGGGTCAAGATCAGGCCTCAAGCTTGGGCCAGGATCAGGGTTCCGTCTGGGGTCAGGATCAAGACTGTCTAGGGTTTGGGGTAGGGCTCAGCGTATAGACAGTGTCAGAGATGGTTTATTCTGGAGATAGGATGATGGCTTAGTCTGGGGTCGGGATTTAGGCTGTGACCCGGGAAAGCGCTCATTTTTGGAGTCAGGATCAGTGTCCAATCTGTGGCCAAGATCAAGGCTTGGAAGCATTCATTTGGGTTCAGGGCCAACCCCAGGCTGGGGTCAGGGTCAGGCCTTAGGTCCAGGCTGGAGTCAGGGTCAGGGTCAGGGCCAGGCCTTAGGTCCAGGCTGGGGTCAGGGTCAGGGTCAGGGCCAGCCTTAGGTCCAGGCTGGGGTCAGGGTCAGACCATCACCCAGGTTGACGGACAGTGTCTCGCTGGAGTCAAGCCTCCGTCTATGGCTGGGCTGCCGTCAGGGCTCAGAGTGACGTGGGTCGGGACTGGGTTTGAGGCCGTGTCTGATTATTAGGAGACCTAGGTTGGGGCTGAACTGAATGTGTGTTTGTTTGTTTGTTTTAATATATTTTATTGATTTTTACAGAGAGGAAGGGAGAGAGATAGAGAGTTAGAAACATCGATGAGAGAGAAACATCGGTCAGCTGCCTCCTGCACACTCCCTACTGGGGATGTGCCCGCAACCAAGGTACATGCCCTTGACCGGAATCGAACCTGGGACCTTTCAGTCCGCAGGCCGACGCTCTATCCACTGAGCCAAACCGGTTAGGGCATGAATGTGTGTTTTTTGCATCTCGCTCCCTAATGGCACAGCTCACCAGGGTTCTCCATGGCAGACCCCAATTCCCAGAAGTGGTTACCACAGCCAGCAGCACGAGAGTGTGTGTGGGGAGACGAAGCAGGAGGAGACGAAGCAGGAGGAGATGGAGCGGGAGGGCGGCCTGGGGAGGAGGCCGGGTGTGAGATGTGTGAGACGGGAGGCTGGGAGTCAGACACTGGGGAGGGTACGCACCTGGAGGGCCAGCAGGGCCTGGGCAGGTGGAGTCCTGCCTCTCTAGGGCGTGAGAACAGATTCTTGGGGTGGTTGGGGTACATGGGCAGGGGCAGGATGAGGCTAAGATGACACCATCCTCCACGCTCTCCATCCTTTCATCCCCAGACAGCTGGTGCCTCTCCTCCAGCCCCCGGGGTCCTGCCATCCCCACATGACTGGCATCTGAACCCTGGATGACCCATCAGCTGAGAGCTCATGAGCCGCTGCCTGGCAGCAGGAGACACCCAGGAGCACCCTCTGGGGAGCGGCCCTGGCCTCGCCGAGGATGCCCTCAGGAGGCC